GTTTTTGAATAATTGGATAACCAAATCGCTGTCATTTGAGAATGTGGTGTTAACTTAGAGTGTACTTTAGACGAAATATTCCATCTGACATCAGAACCTGTTTTTTACGTTTCAGTCACCGTGGAACTCCTGTTTCAGTGAGTGAAATTGCAATTGGTAATTGTTTTAAATCACGCTCTGTACGTTAGGAGACACGTCGGAGTGTCTCTACCATCTCTCGTCCCTCTCCTCCCGCTTGCTTACTCAGACACTTTGCGTAATGCACACTTTTCGACTACTCTTCACGTGGGTGTCTGCGACCCCTTTAATCTCCTATCTTCATGTGATCACCCATCTCACTCCGCACAACAACAGTCGTCAAACATTTTTGTAAATAACCTATTTTTCCATTCATCACAAGCATACAGAACAAGGTTTTTTAATGCTGCACATTCTATCAAGTTTATGAAGGGAATAACAATGATGAAGTAGAAAAACCTTCTGTGTTTAATTCTTACTGCTGCTTACCTTCGTCAATGCACGTAGCTTAAATATTAGTCGTGTTGATGTGTCTTTGAACTGTTGACGAGGGAATCGCTTTAGGAACCAGAGGGAAATTCCACTGTGTTTGCAAGGAAAAATAGACCCTATTCAAACATGTGAGAAGTTAGCGGTTGACAAGGTTATCGAATGGACCGAATTCAACCTCCCTTGATAGCCTATTGTTTAAAAAACATTGACAGTTCTGTATATTTGAAAAAAACAATCTTCTGGGTGATGGCTATCGTAAAAATAAGCAAGGGAGAATGTAATTTTTAACCAATTGTAGATTAAATTGAAACCCATTTGCGATATGAATGATGACATTACTTGATTCTTCTAGTAGTAAGTCGACGTAATTGTGTAGTATCCTTTTTTAAAAAGATTTTCTTCCTAACTGGTTGCCACGACGACTGTTTGCAAAACTGCATTGAAACAGCGGTGGTTTAGAGGTACCAACTTAAATCTGGTTAGGCATGTTGTTTGGTCCATTGAAATCCATTACGAACGACAGACCGTTTGCACCTCAGTTTACGTGTACTTCAAGATATGAAATACTCGTGTACGAAATGGGTACGTTCACTTTGGTTACAGATTCCAATCTTGCTATACTTTTGACGAATTCAATGTTGACCTATAGGCAGCGGCAACATGGTGGCTATCATAAAAATTTCGTTTGCCTTCGGATGACGATTTTGCGGAATGTGGCATTCTGTTTGTGTTGAGGCCTTTCAACTGCCTCTTACAGGTTTAGGCACGTCTTATCTCTTTGTGTTTAAATAAACGTGTTGTGGTTTTTTATTAGACATCCCATAAGGAGTTTATGGTTGACTGATAGAAAGGCAACGTTCGTGTGTTTGCTGTCGAAACGCCGATAGAGTGCGTTAGTTGATTTCAGATTACTCAACCAAGCGAGAAATTGCCACTGCCAGCTATGAGATAAGTTGATGCGTAAAATGATATGGGGTAAAGCCGAAAGGTCGTCAAAGGTCTGGCGTCTAGAAGGTTTGTAGTGGATTGACAGCCACTTCGCGTGAGGGATGCGTGCATGAGGGACCAAGTGGACTAATGACTACTACAGATTTATAAAGGAGTTAAGATAGCGTTGTATAGTTTGTGCCCAATTGAATAAGGAATTTCCGATTCCGTAATTTTAACACATTTACCACAAAATGTCGATGTCACAAATGTCATCTCCGTTCAGTTATCGAAACCTAGTCTCCGCATAACAGTGAAATTGCTGAGGCATCTGCCCTGTCCTCACCTCTATGCATCCGCTAGTTTACATAAACACGTTGCGGTCTTCCATGAACTTGTTCATAATACAAGTGACTGTGCGTCTTCAACGGAAACCGATAAATGCTTGCATGGAATGCATTAGATAGTATCATTTATCCTGGACAAGAGTGCTCGGAACTTAGGCTCATTGAAAATCAGTTAGACAAATAGTCCTAACAAGCACGATAACCCGTCATCAAAATTGCATCATTATACTACGACGTATTTTCTTGGTGCATTAAAAGACATTCATTATCAACACTTATATAACGGCCAAGGACATCATCTGCATCAATCATCGCACTACCTTCGTGCCAACGACATTTGAGAATGTCCAGCAGAGAGTGCTCTACGAGATTGCGTTAAATCAGGACTGGTGGAAATGTGACTTAGATGTTACTTGCCTCAATGAAGACTTAGGATGTTGGGTCATCACAGAAAGTGGCACATCCATTATTTGTTCTGTTAATGAACATTCAACGTAGAATATTATCACCACCATTGTTTTACACTTCGCATGGCAAGGTCTGCGACAGCATTAACGTGGCGATTTTGGCCTGTCCATCACCATTCAATCGTTCTCCGGTTGTGCTGATAGCTGCTGAAAGTCTGAAACAGAGGCTGTAATGTCGTTATTGTTGTGTCGAAGGAATTGTGAAAATCCCTCGTCTCCTTTGAGTCGGAGTCTTCCAGAACAAGGTATAATACTCAGTTGATCATTCCAGCAAGGACGATATGGATGCGTGAACAGGGTTTTTGTGGTTAAGCCCAAGGTGTTTATCTGCCATACATTTTATAACAAATAAGTGTCCAATCAATTACACTTTCAGCGCTGCCAACTGCTAAACATCATTAAAAAATTAGTATGCGGTTTTCTCGAGGAATAAAATAAGTTGATTTGTGGTGGAATTACAACCGAATCTTCCTCCTGGTATGAGGAACTAGAGACGTTGAGACGCTTTCTCAATGCTTTCTTAGTTAAAACATGTCCGTACCATCGATGCAGACAAAGCGGACCTGATGGGTAGAATTTTAAAAAGGAAATGCTATCACCAGTAAGTCATCCTACAGTCTTCGTGTCTACAAGTGAGATTGCTGAGGTAATCGTGTAGATTCATGTCTTTTGCGATTTGGACACATTATGGTGTGTCTGAAGTTCCTTATTTCTCTGCGTTTCCATGTTCATTCCGACACGTCCTGGACTAAAACCTTAGACGACTTGATCTCCGTCACCGAATAATTTTGTCTACGGAGGCGCACAACACTAGGCCTTATTTAGTGTTTACCAGGTAGCGTCAGCAGACCATGTCGCCGACAGTTCTTTGTAGACGTCTTTGCAGTTATGTCCACCGCAGTAATTTTCCACATGTTGTGGCTTATTTTCCTGTTTCACTGTTGATCATTAGGTTCACATTTGAACATTCGTACTGATTAACGCAATATCCGTGATATTCAGGACGGGCCTGTTTAATCTGAATGTTTTTTTTTTTCTAGTTGTGAGTGATGCGATATGTTTCTGGCAATAAATCGCATGTTTGGGCAGAATGTCTTCTCTATTAATGATTTTTTTCACTCCAACATGTAGGTCATTAAGACGAGGAGTCGTGAAGTAACTGACTCACCGCCAACGGGAAATTGCTGTCAAGTTGAACGTGTTCGTCTGCGTGTTGGTTGTTGAAGTTCATCAAGGCATTTCAATGCACACAGTGATTTGTGACACTGATTTACTTAGCTCTATTCACAGGATTGCAAATTTGCCGTCACACTACTTATCAAAGTCAGATCGCTCAGAGGTATATAGTAGTCGCATCTGAGCATCTAAATGATTTGCCTTTGTGGCGCAACCTGCTTGACAAAACTGCGTCATTCTCCTCATGAAGTCGTTCTCGAAAAAATCCATGTTGTTCGCACAACACCAATCTCCCTATCTCCGTGATTGTTCCAGGCCGCTGGCACCACAGAATCGGACACTAGACATGAATCTGTTGTGACGGACGAATCGTTGTTTAAGGAAGATACGGACATAGCAATTGATGTTGGTATCACCAGAGCGGATACCTTAAATTTTGACCCGCCAGACCCCATTTCCCCACCACCCCAATATTGTTCCCTCCTTTTGATTCTCCTAGTGGCAAGTCGATGTGCTCATTCAAGCTTTCTGGTTCTGAATTCTTTATTTTCTTTAATATTTCCGCGACGATATGTTGCAAATGTGCGTTGGTGCCTCGGTTGCCAACATGTTTTATCTGAGATCAGATAATGCGCGTTGTTGGGTTCATTAAAAAGCCCATTGCTTACGATGGACGAGTTGCTGGTTAGTTAACGAGGTCTTCAAGCCACAAAATCGGCTTGTAGATAAGGTGTTCGTTTATTTTGATTGTAGCGTTTCAGGCTCATCGTAGTTCCAACCAGAGCGATTTTAAACTGCGGCCACCTGCAATGTTGTCGCTTTCGGGAAAACGCCATTTACATCCAGATGACGATATTGAAGATGTAGGCATTCTGCCCGTGAAGAAGCCTTGCATAGGATTTGTGCAATTTCCGGGCAAGTCTTAGCTCGAATGACAATGAAATCAGCATTGTGAATCTCAATAACTAGATTTCTCACCTTCTCTTTAATATGGTCTGCCCCATGACCATCCATTGAACGACCTAATTCATGCAAATGATTTTTCAACGACTCAAATTCAGCGCATGATTCTTGTAGTTGTGAGTTATCGTGCCCATTTGAGCAGTCTCGTTCTGAACGCTTTTCTGTTCAAAATGTTGCCATGACCACTGGTTGCAAATCTGGGTTGGTACATCGCACGAATAAGCCATGCGTCCGATTTTCGTAATTACTAAAAATAACCTCTTTTTTTATTTTTTTGAAGTCATCTCCGCATTAGTGGTAGACTTGACTGCATAGTGCATCCAATGGCTATTTGAAATATGTCCATCAAAAGAATGGCTTATGGGGAGTCACAGAATGCCATCTTTGATTGCTGAAAAAGCCAAATTGTGTTTATTTTGAAACCGTTTTACCATTGCAAATTTTATGCACTTGACTTCTGCCGTTTGTCCTTCTGACCCATCAAATAAGACATGTAAAGGGAGACTTATTAGTTGGTCACGAAACATGACACCTCAATTCCGATGGAAAATTCGAGGTTTGAGTAAGTTTTTTGGACCATCGACAGCAGGTAAATTTTCAAACAACTGCGATGACTACCCGTGAGTTTGCAAGTAGCGAGCTTAGATTAGCATTCATGCCATCTGAGTAAGCGTTCAATTCCCAGAGATAATCGGCTGAGGCAAATTGGTTCTAGATCCTTGGTATTCAAACAAGCATAGCACTTAATAATTAACAATGACTAGACACCGATAGTGTGATTATGGATTGAATGCACTTTGCATGCGTTTCGGTTCCCACCAACAATCGACTTTACCAAGATGTGTCAACTTTTACACACAGACATGCATATGGTGCTGATCAGACCTGCCGCTTAGCGGATCCGTGGATGACGTTCTGTTGGTGAGCCGACGAGATGTCTGGAAATGCGTCAACGGAGAAATTAGAAAGAGTTAGATTGAAATACATATTTGCACACAAATCCTTTGGGTAAGTGTGCTGGTGGATGCGGTTTGTTTTTGTACTCGGATATCAATCAGCGTGTTCACGTTCACACTGTTTTACTGGTTTATACGTAATTTCAGAAATCCAGAACAGGCCTATGGGATTAAGAGTCATTTACTTGCGTGGTGTGATGAGCCGTGTTTCTGACATCAGTTTGTGGTTAAATTTGAATAGAACGGTGTCTAATAAAATCAGAACTGTCTTAATGCCACTAATTTAGGTAATTATAATTGGCTAGTTGCAGAAAAACTGACCCACTTTTAACTGGATCCACCAGTCAATTTAAATCTTTCTGTCTCAGCTCTTTCCAGGGTATCACCATCTCTCAGCCATCTCATATGATGCACAATCAAAGCAGTTTTTATCCACCTATTCCTACTTCTCTAACCTCGCGGGATCCGCCTAAAATCTGCACTGCGCCAGAGTCCCTGGATGTAACTGACGGTGCCCCTTCACCTCAGCCACCCCTATTGATGTCAAGCAATCGTTGGGCGATGCCCTATTCCAGTCCAATGACAATGACGACGTGGATGAACTCCTTTTAGCCACTGCCAGGAAGGACCTCGAAGTGGAAGATGCTGTTGCGAGTGAGTTTACTGCCAATTGACGTAATTAAGGAATCAAGCTGGGTGTAATCAGGTCAAAAACAGTCAAAAGTAAAGTAAAGCTTGAATTACCATCCACAATTTGTAGAGAGGATATCGCAGACAAGCTGGTTTTTCAACGGGCCTTTTAGTTCAGACAAGCGAGTTGGTGCTTGCTAAAGATAGCCTCTAGTTCACACTCGACATGACAGCTCGTTGTGCCAATGCACGTATCATAATATGATTACGTAGTTGCAATTAAAACTTGTGGTCATAGTACTCCCCACGGAGTTAATTCGAGTGCATATTTTGGCGACTAGCAAGTCATTTAAGTTGGCTCGTCGTTTTTGTTAGGAAATCCTTAGTGCAGCATTCACTATTAGGGTACCCAGAAAGTGAAGTGCAGTGTTCTAGAGGCCTTGGTGAAGTACCGATTTGGTAAAATTACATGGATCAATGCACTCAATTTTGTGAGGAATATTGCGCATTCACAGCCCTATAAATTGTGCCTTTCAACTCTACACAAACGAAGTACTTGACAATTCTTTTTTAACAATTTGTCAACGTCCATAGACCTATAAGCGTATCGACTGTCTTACTGGGCTAACATCTCATTTTTAGAGTAATGTTTAGACGGCGAACAAGACAATCGTCGTTTTGTACAAGAAAAGACGAATGTCACCTCTCCATGTGTCAACAAGCAGCACTTTCGGTGCTGCTAACTGAGGAACTCCACAGGAGTTTTCTGCAAAAGCAAACTTTAGAACATTAAGAGCCGAGACGTGTCCGGAAATTACAACAATCTGTTGAAAAGCTTTATCGCAGGCAGAATACCTCGCTCTCCAAAATCTTAATCGAGAGGTAAGTAGCGTTTTCGTGGAGGCGGCAACGTTGCAGGTGGCCATCATTCAACATTGCTCTGGCCAGAACCATAATGAGCCTGGAAACCCAAAGTTAAAATAAACGAATGCTTTATCCGTGCGTGGAGTTTACGTCTAGAAGCCCTCTTGAACCAAGGAACCACCGGTTCATTGTAAGTAGTGGATTTTAAATGAATATCACAACACAAATTATCGGATTGGAGTCAAATCCTACATTGAAATTTTACAAGTTGGCACATATATTAAGAATGCATTCGATGTGCATAATTACACCCTCTTGGTTTCACATGGCATTGTTTGATCGACAATCTGCATGTGAGCAGGTTGTCATTTGTGCAATCCAAATTCAGTAAATGGTAAGGTAGACACTGGAATAAAAAAATTGAGAGATTTCCGCGAGGACTATGTAGACAAACTTGATTTTGTCCTTGCCATCATGTTGAATGACTGCAAATTGCCTTATGCCAAAGTGAACTAAAGAAGCATCAGCGTAAAAGGTTATAGAAATGAAACTGTCAGCGAGCGCTATGCGACACCTGGACATCCCCAGTATTGCATCCAAAATGCAAAAGTGAAGGACTCTAGACGTCTTGGTTTGGTACATGGATCTTGAACGACCTGGAACTACATGCATGATTTGGCGGATAATGTCGTGCTTTGATGAATTTTGCAGTGTGGTTTTCGTGTGTTCGCAAAGGCATTATTTGACATTTCCTTCCTCACCTCTCTGCTAATCTTGACAACCGAAGAAATCTTTACATTTCTGGATTTCTTCTGCATCGTTTTACTTACAAATCTACTCAAGACCTGTCTGCGCTAGCACCTTGTACATTGGAGCAATGGAAATGTTTCGAAACAACCCTGGTAGGAGTTCGTCAACAAAATGACTAACGATTCCCTTCGGTCAGTCAACCAACAGCACATTTAGTGATATCAAATAAAAGCACCACAAGTGTAATCTAGGAGTATCATCTTCAGAAAAAGGATCCCATCCATGTGTGGAAACTACAGCAGTCAACTGCAAAATCTCTTGGCAGGCAAAATGCCTAAATCTTCGAAATCCCAGTTTGGAGGTAGATGGCATTTTCTGGAATTCGGGAAGGTTGTTGATGGCCAGAGTTCAAGATTGCTCTCTCCAAAATTATAGTAAAAATTAAAACCTAAATGAAGAAAAATGAACGCATTACCTAGAGGCAAAATTCTTGTTGTGAAGGTCTATTCAACTAAGATTGAACCATCCATATTGCAAATGGATTTTCGATGAACACCACTACTCCCCCAATCGGATGTCGGGTGAGACAAGCATGCATTAACAAAGAAATACGACCAATCGTCGTGGAACCGATTCACAAAGATTATCATTCATAACCAGGTTGCTTCAATGTGAACGCAGACTTACAAAGGGAAAAAATATCTGCAGAGGTGACGTGCGCCATAAGCTGCTCATCGCGTGAAACACCTAGTAGGGGTGTTGGCAATGTAGGCTGCCACGTATCCACCCCCTTGATTTTAACATCCTCCATGGCTGGAATGTTTACTGAATTTGATTCGTAACTGATAGTGACTGCTTTATTGACCGACCTCAAAGAAACATCGCAGGGAATTGAGGTGTTTTACACATGCATGTGTACGCAGGCACCACGGTGTTGCAGTCCCTTTCTGTAACTCGTACTGTTCCTTCATCTCAACGACCTGCTGTTGTCAAGCAATCGTCGATCGACGGCCTCTTCAAGACCAACAACTTTGACGTGGATGACATCCACTTAGCCTCAACGTTTATAACTTCGAAGTAGAAGATGCTGTTGCGAGTGAGTTAATTGCCAATTGACGTAATTAGGGAATCAAGCTGGATGCAACAGGTCAAAGGCGCTGGTTTTAGCATGATTTGATGTCGGCTAACTGTTGACTGTCTTATGCCCACTTTGATAGAATGCTAATAGTGCTTCCTTAGGCTTGATTTTATGGCACAATCCATGTCTCTGAACATGGCAGCTCGTTGTGGGGATGCGCGACTCCTACTGTAATGAAGTCGTCACATTCTATTGAGCTACTAACGAATGTAATGCAAGCATATGTTTTGGCGACTAGCAGGTCAGCTAAATTGGCACGTGGATATCGTCTTTATTGAGTGCATCCTCATTGCTGCATCCACAATATTACGTTCCGAAAAGCTAACGTGAAGCATTCTAGAGGCCTTGGTGTAGAACACATTTAGTGAACTATCTGGGGCGGTGAATTCAATTTCTTCGCAAATAGATGGCTTCAAATAATTGCAGAGAATGGGAAAATAATTATGTAATGAATATCATGAATTTATTTGAGAAGGTAGAGGAGGCGTCCGTAATAATGAAGGTAGCACTATGGCCTCTCGGTTCCCCATGACTAGTGAAGTACGATTCAAATTCAAATCGGATACTTGGGAACCTACTTTTCCAAACACGCCTACCGTGTAATGCTGCCGATGACCAAAATATTACCGACGCCAACTCTGTAAATAAGTTATCCATTTGTTAGTCGACGTGTCTGTTCAAGTAACCTGGTATTAAAGCATATGTTTTATGTAATACCTTTCGATGACGAGTGTTTCCTTATCTGAGTTGGTACATCCTTGTTTAGAACGTACCATCTAAAACCATGTTAGTTATGGCGTTCACTAAAAGTCCTCCACGTAAACTGAGTGGGTTGAACATCAGGAATTGTAAATTTTAGGCTCTTACCATAATTTTGGATAGAGCAATCTTGAACTCTGGCCATCAGCAACGTGTCCATTTACCTTCAGACTGGGATTCTGAAGATGCATGCATTCTGCCTGCGAAGAGGTCTTGCGATGAAACACTGCAGTTTCCACACACGGATCGGCCTATTTTGTTGTCAAGATCTTTGGATTCAATTTTGGTGTTTGCGAATTGACATCACGCGTCAGTAGATCGCTGTAATTTCTACACATGGATTGGCTTATATTGTCTTAAGCATGAAATTCTCCGAATAAAATTGTGTTTATTTTAAATTGACAACTGAACGTACTGTTAGTTGACAGAAGCAGATGCGACATTGGTCTATTGGATTTCTATTCACTTAGTTTAATTTCATTAAGTGGAATGTGGGTAAGGTCTACTTTTCATGAATGGCCCCATTGAAACCTCATTGGTGCAACACATTAACACACGCGTAAACCACTGTAAAATTGTCTTCCTCCAGCTCCACAAAAATGTTGCAGCACGACGGAGTAGCATAATTATCATTTCATGATCAAAACAAGACACCGTAATATCAACAAATGCAACCATGGTGACGTAACCAGTAATCAACCTGAGGGTATGTACCTTACCACGTCGAATACCCACCAAATTAGTGCAATCCCATTATATTTAAACTCACTAACCGTCACAGGTGCAAAATGTGGGCATTGTCGTTCTCCAAAATCAATTACAATTAGCAAGTCCTTTGTCAAACTGACAAGTAACCATCCGAGTCGTGTTTTCTTCTGTTATGGGACTGTAATACCGGTCGCTATTGAATTTAACATCAAATAATATTTGATGAATCAATCGACATGATGTGCCTCTAATGGAACCAACTACTCGTCAATTTCGTCAATAAAATACACGCACAAACTTCAAGGACAGGACAGGTTTTGTTTAAATAGACACGTGATATTACAAGGCTCTTCCATCTTTTGTTCCTGAGACTCGAAATGCGGCTTTAGCGCGAGTGCAAGCAAGCATGTGTGCACGGCCAAACACTGATCAGCCAGTGAGAGTGGGGATTGGCTGTCTCCTGTCGTATGGTTGATCCTGTAGTGGACTGACAGCCGCCCCGCGCGAGTGTGCGTGCATGAAGGTCCGTGTGTAGCGATGACTCATCCCCTTTTGTTATTGATTTTTGTCAGCATTCGTCTGTTACGCACGCGTGCTCATACGCACACAAAGCCACTTGGCTGGTTCGACTCTAATAAACGGTTGTGTTCTCTGTCGCCTCCTTTTTCCTACGGGCTGTTAACTAGAGGGTTGTAAGGTAGTGCTACAATCCACATACATCACTTGATCAAACAAAACTCACACACAGACATTTTTATCACTTCGCATCTTGTTAGGGATTCATGATTCATCAAGATTGGTTTCTGATTTAATTTACATTAATTTATTAACATTTGTTTTGTTACGATTTTATCAAGTCAAGGTCAAACTTGAATAAGTGTCCCAATTACTTTCGATTTCACTTCTCTGAACGTGGCTGGCGTGAATAAAGCTCTCTACACGAGGTCTGATCTTGTTCTTGTATTAGCTGGGCAGGTCGGTTCTTGCTTTCAGCGAGGGATCTGGTACCGTTATTTGAGTGGTATTCTCTATTGTTACGGCAAACGTAGCACATCTCAGTGGGGTAGTTTGTGCAACGTCGTTTTTAACGTCAGCATCCCAGAATGTCAATTCTTTCGCAAAAAAACAAAACACCGAGAGCACCTAAGCAAATAATGTAATCATTTTTGCACAAATAGTTCAGGTCTGAGAAGTCAAGGAGGAAGTTGGGTTTGAGACGGAGATTGCTAACAGACTTTACTGCCTGTTATGTTTGACGAGTATTGTAGAGATCAGCAGTGAGAGCGCCGCCTCATCCGATTCCCCAAGTGAGTCCTCCAGACGACATCCCACGGGTTCATCACAACAACAATATCCAAATATCCCTGACATTTCTGAGCTCACAGTCACCAACGGAATCGATAGCAGACATGAATTCGATGTGTTTTACGATTCCCTGTTTAATTTTAATTCAGACGAGGAAGACGATGTTCCAGTCAGCGAGGTGGAAACCTCGGATAAGGAGTCACTAGAACCCATTTTCTCCCCATCCTTATATTGTGTCAGGTCCGAAGGCGAGCAGATATCCTCTTCAATGTCTACAGTGTATTCTTCCAGTGGTAAGTCGATGTACCCATTCAGGCAGTTTGGTTTTGAATGCTTTTATTTGTTATAATTGGCCACAACGTATGGTGGCATATCTACGATGATCCATTGATTGTTAAGATGTCATGCACGAAATCAGCTAGTGCCTTTGTTAGGTTTATTGAAAGTTCAATACGTAAGAAGGGAGTGGTTCTCAGCTTAACTCACGATTGCATCAATAACGAAAATGCATGTGCAGATAATGCGTTTGTTCCTTTTTATTTTAGGGTTGTTGAACTATGTCCACCTGCAACTTTGCCGCCTCACGCAAAACGCCATTTACCGCGAGACGACGAATCCGAAGAACTAGACGTTCTGCTGCAAAACGACCTCGCAACGATTTTTGGTGATTTCCAGACTCGACTCGGCTGATTATATTCTGATGAATGCATCTCATGCATAAACATGTTGTCCTTTTTAAATTGAAAACAATGGAAGTGTTGTTTTTTTAAGTGATGGGAGCCAGAATTCAGCTCTTCATTGACGTTACGTTGCAAAGCCATGTTTCTGAGCAATCAACCACAGACGGAATCAATGCCAGACATAAACTCGATGTGTGGTACGAGTCCTTGTTAAATGACACTGCAGACGACTCAAACGATTTTCAAATCACCAAGGTGGAAAATTTAGACGTTTAATTTCATAAACCTATTTTCCCACCACCAATGTATTCTGCTTCACCCGATGGCGAGCCAATGACCGACTCGACATCTGCAAAGCATTCTTCCAGTGGTAAGTCGATGTGCTTCTTACAACAATCTGGTTATGATATCTTTTTATGCAATCGGCCACAACAGCTGCTTGCATATTGGCGTTTGAACATCGGTGGTTACAATATTCTGCATTAAATCTGATAATTCCTGTTGCTGGGTTCATTTAATTTAAAGCCTAATATTGACAGGTTGCAGCGTAGTTCAGTCCACGATCTGCGAACGCGTGAGGACTAGTGGAAATCTAGTCAACTTATCATTTGACGATGTTGTCGAAGTTTAGATCACACCTCAAAATCACAGTTGATTCGAAATGTCATAAGTGGTAATCACAAGTGACTGATTTTAACATAAGCACCTCGACACAGCGTGATCGTTCCGTCTACGCAGCTAATCTGATTGGTTTGGAGAAAAACTGCCTGACTGTGACGACACATGATCATGGAACATAAAAAAGATTTTGTTGTAAGAATTTGGATGATGGTCGCAGTCTACAATTGCAGTATATTCAATAAGGGTTAGTGTCAGAACAGCTCATTCCTCTTTGACTGGATGCTGATAAGATCGGTGGTTTTACGGTGGTTGAGCACACTTTCTCAACAGGATCGTGCGCGGGAACAGAGAGCAGAAAGAGTGCACCTGTGGTTTGATGAATGTGAAAAGTTGCGGCTAGCAATTTGTGCTCAAACAGTCGGTGAGAACACCTAGGATCCACTATAATCAACCTATTATTGACAGTAGGTGTAGACATGGTGCCAAGAGTTGTGGGTAAGAATGCTTGCAGCCTACCACCTACGCGCTTGGTTTACCACGGCCTGTGTGTGTGTGCAAACATCTAAAAACTTACTTCAGATGATTTATTATTTAACCATATTTGCTAAACGGGGGTGGAAAATATTGGAAAGGAATTGTGGATATCACGAGTTTTTGTTACATAAAACTTGCCTGCTCTATAATAGGGTTAAATGCTTCACAGAAATTAAAAGCTGTTTTAAGTGTGATACCTCCAAGCACAAAAAAGCATGCCGACTAATGATCATCAAAGGAACGATGAAGACGCTGACGTGTTCTTAACAAGAACAAGCACCAGGGTGTGTGTGTGATGTGATGCGTGTGGTAGATAGCAGCTTGCGACCGCTCTTAGATACAGTCGATGGGCACACCCAGATTCTGTTAAAGCATAAACCAGTCTGAGCAGATTTAAATAAAGGCAGCAGGTGTATGCATGGTGAAATCTTACCAAACGGTGATCTCAATCTTGTGGTCTTAAATCGAGCATTCGTTTTTCAAAGACATGCGGAGACCAGGATGTGACGTCACCAACTTCACTACCAGAACCCCTTCGTCACGCCCGACGAATTCCATACTGAGTACCTCACCAACACTGTTTAATCCGAAGTGGTCTGTGGTACCAAGCAAAATTCAGTGAATTTCAACAGTTGAAACCAAACCGGAGAGAAACCAGCACGAATTAAATGAGAAGAGCTTAGGGTACGTCAGCTGTCGCTTGTTAGCACTGTGAGACCTGGCACTTTGTCAGACACAGTGCACAGCGCTGGGAACACTGGAACCGTAAGCTACGAGGATTTGCGGAGAAGGCCCCTTCAGTATCCGTTACTAGTTTCTACACGCTGTTAGTAGTATAGTTTGATTACTTTCTTTACCATTAAGCAGTGGTCACTTGGGAATGTGAAAGATGTTAGTTTAAGTGATTGACCAGAGACGAATTTTTGTCTCCTTCCCTAAGTTGCGGCCTTTAAACTCCAAGGCATATTTTCTGAACAGAAACTCATCGTGAAGCTCGCTGAGATCTCCATCGAATACCTCACCGAGATAGATAGGTCTACGTTCCCCAGTGGTATCAAAGTCAATTTAGTACAGCGAGCTAACGAACATCATAAATCTGGCTCGCCCTCATCGAGTCAGCTAAAACCAGACAAAGTACAAATCGGCACAAATCGAACAAGGGTAGCAAATGACACTTGTTTCTTCACGTGTTGGCACTGTCATGCCTGGCGCTTTGTCAATCTGTGCCCATGCAAGCAGAATTTGTATCGTGGGTCACACGGACGCATTCTGTCAGTGACCCCGTCCACGAATGGCAGATAGCGCCCTCGCAAACAGAAGAAGCAGTAGACGAGGTCAGTAGTCTCAATTGTCACCTTACTCAGCTTGCTAACCATCTTCAGGGAAACGTCAAAGCAGCCAGTGGCTGTCAGGCAGGTCTGCAGGAAATGTTCGCTTGGCTGATCGAAGTGTGGGTGTAGAAAGCAAGTGTTTGCTCCCATATGAGACCAATTTAACGAGGTTGGCTTAAGCACGTCTAAATTACCTGCAATATGTTATAGTATGGAATCAATTCTAAATTGAGCAGAACATGACTCTTTTAGTGACTACCGATTTGACAAATTTCACACAGTTCACAAGTAGTTGAATTCAGTAGCACGAGAACCACGCAATCACTGAGTAATAAAAATATTACTAAGGTCCTCTTAGACCAATTAATTGATCATGGACTGGGAAAATGGTTGAACCGATGACGCTAACCAAGGTGACTGTGGCCTTCATTGACACAGAACGTCTAAACAGATTGCTGCAACATCAAGGCCATCTAGGAATTCTAAGATGAACAATGTCAAGTTAGGTGAGTTTGCTTGACCTCGTTAAAGGAGGTATATCCGGTGGAGTAGTTGCTCCAGTACGTCATTCCAAGATTTTCTTGGTTGTTTGGCTTCAGAAAATGTGCGATTTATGTGCACGTACCCAAAAAACATTTTATTTGTAGAATAATAAAACCTTTCAAAATACCAGCTCTTAAGTCTTTTACTACGTAAAAACCTATTTTTAAATAATTAACCATACCTGCAAAATCAAAATTAAAAAATAGTGGATATTTACTTAGATGACTGGTGCAGACCGTGGACATTTTGATTGATTGATATGAGCTTCATTTGAAAGCGATTAAGGTACCTGGACAAGAGTGCTGTTTCTTAAACAAGAGACACTTAGGGATGTTAATAGCGGAGATTATCGCCGAAGAAATGTGGAGTTAGCAGATGCTTCTGATCTAATTCAATCCAGTTACGATTCATTAAGCGTTTTACTACAACTACACTTAAGCAGTGAAGAGCAGGAACAATTGCACAACCGACGACCACTGCGATTGTTAACGTGCTGGTTCCGTAAAATGTTGAGTCTTCAGGTTCCTTGTGTCAGGGACAGAATCCATGCTGAATATTAAACGTCGCCTGGCTTACCTCGCTGGTTGCGTAACAGCGAAATAGAACGTACAGGTGGCGTCATTTTTGCGACCAATTACGACCCTGGTTCACTTTCGTGACTTCAACTATCCCTCCAAAATTACCGTTTTTCATTTAAGCGAATATGCAACTCGCTTTGAGTTAACGATTCCCTGTTTGTCCTCTCACTTTACGTAACCGGGTTATCGGCATTTGTCTTACTGCTCTCACAAAACGTGTTTGCGTCCCAAGTTGTCAATTGTTCCTTTAACCCAAATCCAGCATCATTTAGAATTATGGGTATTTGTAGCAATTAATATTTTAGTTTGAAGGTACCCTGCAACGAGAAAATTTGAACATCAACTGCTGATTTCCTACTTGACTCACAAACTCCGCAATTTCACACCCCACTTATTCCAGCAACGAATGACAAATTGACTTGAAGCTCTACTTTTACAGTAGTCGGTGCATGATTTAATGGGAAATTATCTACAAGTCAGTTAACCACTTAGTGGTGGACCAGTCTTCATTAAGCTTCAGCATGTGTGTAGTCAATTTGCGTTAATCTGTCAACCGTGAAATTATTGCACTGCCTGATGCAAGTAATTAACTAGAGTCAAATGAGCTTGAATAATCTAAGCCATCACAGATTCAAGAAGACTAAAATCCGCCATTGCAATTGGTGCAATAACACTAGTTTTTTTTGCAATCGGTTCATTCCAGAAGTGCCAATTTGTCTGTTAGCAAAATGTGGACTTAGCGAGTGGCATGCTCTACCACTACTAATTTTGTAGCTATACTGCATCTCAGTCAGATGGTAAGGTTGTGATGTCCAACGTCCTAAAACATTCGGCCACATATTCAAACTCACTCATTGGAAAAGGGTTTACAACTGGTGGAAAAGAACTTGTCATCGAAATGTCATGTAATGCCTGGCACGTTTTTAACCATATTAGCATCCGAATTGACTTCTAAGCAAATAGTTGTGGTTGAGTGTGGCTTAATTTAGGCTATTAGGTAGTCCGTAAATAAGAAGAAATAAGCTTTCGGCTAGAGCGATTGGAATTGTTTGTGTTTGGTTGCCTTGACTGCTTATTCATATCCGCATTTGCGAAGTCCACGTGTGCAAATGGTGTAAATGTTGCAATACCCTCGGTTACTACGGAAGTTAAGGAAATTTCACAACGAATTTATAACATGCACATTGGCATATTCCATGATATAAAATTTAGAGCAGGAGAAGTGAAATTTCTAATTTCAAAGACCACCCACGGCTCCGTCACATGCATTTCAGTGACTCGTATTTGTGATAGACTTACTCAAACCATGCTTGTAAGCTTTGCAAAGTGAATTTGCAACCATCAAACCATTTTGAGATTCCAATTAGTTATTTCTTTCTCCACAAGGATTCTAATACCGAATATTTGTGCGAAATTTGCATAAGCCACGCCTGTCATTTTGGGTTGTGGAGTCAAAGAAGAATGAATATTTGTTTTGAAGAGCGCCTATTGCTTCCTCACACGGATGCTAGTGTCTCGCATTTGTAGGAGACGCGGAGAAGGCATGTTATAAATGTGCTGCATAGTCTCCCACGAAAATTCATCCAGTTTCAAATCCTAAAATTAAATCAGCAACATGAACGTGTATTATAAAAGCTTTTGATGTCAATGACATTAGCCTACGCCATCGTTTGATTTTGGTACAAACTCCATCACGCGGTAACTATTGCCTGAAAAGGAAAATGCACAGCACTGAAGCCATAGTATCCTGGCATCGTAGTGACCAATAATAGAATTTAAAGGTAAAGATTTGGAACCATAATGATAAAAAAATATGGTCAAAATCTCCGGCTTCATGCATTACAGCCCCGTTTGAGTAAATTTCAAGTGACCTAAATTTGAAACAGAACCCACGATAATAAAATAATATAAATGTCTGGAATGTCAAAAAATGAAAGGCCTCTGAGTTGAGAAAAACTTTGAGTAAACTTCCAATGACCCTAAATCGTAACAGAATCCATACCAAAGCAAAAGATATACCTTTGAACGTGATTCCACAAACGAGTCTCACCTACTAGAAGAAGTCTATTCTTGAACACTGCCAACGATACCGGACATTTACTATTTAGAGAGAGTCCACGAAGTTGCGTCCACTGCCCCATGTCTTCGGCATTGGTGGGCAAAGAGAAGCTCTCGACGGTGATTTGCTCTCCATCGTTGCCCCCGGCGACAACCAATAGGCCACGAAAGTGAGCGACTCCAGGACGTCGGCGCCATTCCAACATTGGGGTTAGCTTTCTCCACGAGTACTTTTTGTCAGCACCGCCTTTGAGTGAAAGCAATTCGACATTGTTCACCTTACGTTGAATTCGTGTTTGCCATCCTCCAACGACGATGTCTCCAACAGCAGGCACGTGCACCACCGAACAGTCCAATCTTGGTGTTGGCATATCCGGTAGTTTATCCCACCTTCAAGAAAATTATACAATTCCACTTTTTCTCTAAATGGTCATATCAGGTTCTTATTGCCGGTTCTGTTTGCCTAAGTTTGTGAGTGCTGATTTTTTTAACAAAAACGATATTTAAGTGCTGGAGAAATACTCATCAATGAACACAAGTGTATACAATTTATGTTTCTGCTTTAAGTAAAATAAGACTTTTGGATATTAGGGTAGTAAAAGTTCACAAGAAAACAAATCCAACTCATATCAACTCTAGTGGTAGGGCATTCACTTTAGAGGCATTAGAGGCACAGAACTCAAACTGCCTTATGATATATATGGTAGATAGAAGTTACTATGGTAACCATAACATGAACTTGCCTCGAGTCAGGCATGTTGAGCACGGCACTAGAACGCGAATCTGATCCATTAGAATATCCCCCAAAAACGAAAAGTAATCTATCATGCACGACAGCACAATGGTTTTTCCGGGGCCAATACATCGACGGCAAGGTAACAACATCTCCAGTATCGAGGGCCAGTAAGTCTACCTTGTTGGTTGGCGTGCCAAATTCATCCTCACCACCAATAAAAAAAATCAAGCCTACAAAACAATAGCATTTAGTCATAGCTGCGTGAAATATATTCATCCCTTAAACCCTTCATTATGCAGACCTACGCCAACAAGACACAACCTCACAATTCGGACGTAATTCCATTTTGATTTCAAGGTTGACATCAGGTTGTAAATTCAAAATGTTTTTAGTGGTAAAATATGGTGAATTGTCGTTCGGCAACTGATACGCAATAACGTAGTCATCAAGGACTTCGGTCCTGCAAATGCAAAATGGACGTCAGGAAACGCAGTCTCAAAAAGTGTACACACGGGTGACGTTCAGCATAAGCAAAGTTACCCGCCAGCAGATGCCTTGGAAGACGCGGCTACTCTTGGAATGCCCGGTTTCGTCGCCAGCTTCCACGCATTAGTGAGGTAGTCCCTGGGTAAAACACACACATCTAAGTCCATAGACAGCTAAATAGACGACGGTTTCAACAAATACCGTTTTGCAAACATAAAAGCTTATAAGATAAAATGCACGAAAAGCAGATTTGAAGGCATTAACTAGACGAAAGACACATAAAAATATTCTGCATTTTTGAGCTCAAATGAGCATTCTCTATTAAATGCGCACCTGTAATTTGCCGGCAGGTTTGCAACGCACTTTGATGTGCAAATATCAACAAAGTTGCGTGATGAAATACTGCCGAGTTCGACAGTTCCGACGAGATCTGTAAATAAGTCCACGTTTTCATCTGGGGATGCATGTTCGAACCACGTTGTAATAACTCGCAGCTTCGAGTCCTCGGGCACGTTAGATAGTCGATCGTCTCTAAGCATCAAGGCCAGATATTCGGCATCAGTCGAGACATTAAACATTGGGCGCCCGGTAATATCGTCAAAGTTGTTAGCGATTACAGGCACGCAGATACTCATTAGTTCCTGGTTCATTGTGGCGTTCGCGATTGACCAGAAGCTTTCCACATTTTCCACCAAAAGCCTATAACATGATCGACAACTGGTTAATTTTGTCAAATTTAAATTTGGAAATATGTTGCAACATTTGTCACAAAGTTTAATTTAGAAAAATATAATTTTCCCTAATGTACGGAGCCCTTTATTTGTATAGGAAAGAGGTTTAAGGAATTTACGACAGGCTCACTTGCATGCTTAAGTACCTGGGTTCCAGAAATTTAATGCAGCCTGACGTGAGTGCTGAGCAACCCAGAGTTGTCGATAGCAAGAAGAGGCTGGTCACATTGCTCATGGTGATTTCGACGCGTCCAGTGTAGGCGAATGCCACGGCTGCCTCCACAGTGCTACGACACATTGTCGTGCAGTGAACTGTACCCAAACTTACTCTGCACTGAAACGCCTCCATTTCATACATGCTCGATTCTCCGCTGTAACAGTGTCCGCGATGCGTGGAAACCGCAGAGCCAGAAGAAAACGGCTAGCCAGCACCTTACGTCCATCTTTTGACTATGTTATCAATGACACTTAATCTAAACAACTTACTATTATCTTAAAGTCAAGCAGTTTCTTTCGATTCCGTAGCTCCTCGATACGGTCAAAAGGCATGGGGCTGCTCGGGTGCTCCATGAACGTCCATTGTTCCTCTAGTGGCATTTTACGTTGGAATGTACCGTAGAAAACTAGCCAAAATAACAAAACAGTTATGTATGATTGCCTCTTCTAATAACCCGTTACCAAGCGACGCGTAATCAGCACTGCACTCACCTGCTTGAATGATTGATTGTAAATTAGTCTGTGATGGTTCTTTTAACGCCCCCCTAATTCGATTTTATGCAGCTGGATACGCGATACGTGCAAGCGTGCGCGCGCTCAAAGCGAATGAGATTAAAGCACTTTACGTATGTAACTACAAATCGATAGATTGATAGATTGATACCAGGAACTAAGAGGTTATGATTACGCTAGGCACAGCGCAACGGCAACGACGTTACCAGTCCCATCAACGTGGCGATTATTGGTTGTGAACTGGGAAAAACAGTCAAGGTATCTGGATTCGCGTGGGGAATAATGATCAAAAATTGTATGAAAGGCATAAATTAGTGGCTTATGGTCGGTAGAAATTGTGAACTCACGTCTTTTCAGTAGGTGATGCAAATGCTTCACAGCAAGATAAATCGCCAATAGTTCTCTGAAAGAGGCACTTTAACGGGTATGAGCTGCTTGAAGCTTTCGAAAAAAAGAACGATAGCGACTCATTAAGACGGCTCAGCTCTCGCTAAAAGACTGCCCCAACCCCAGTGTGGAAAGCGTCTATCCTTAAGATATGTTTCGTTTCCTTCTTTCAGTAGCGCGAGTTTGTAACATCTGCTATTGCATCATTTTTAGTCTAAAAAGCAACTGCAGCCTACTTTGTAAGCGTTAGCTTCTTGGGATTATCTCGAAGGAAGTAAGTCAAAGGGAACAAAATTTTAGCGGCATGTGGGATAAACCGTACAGAGCAATTGACCAAACCATGAAAACGGCGTGAGCTACGTGGAGGTTTTGGTATTTGATACTCCCGAATCGCTGTTACTTTCTTAGTTAGGGTCTGGTGCCATCTGGCTTAAATTGGTGTCAGAGGAATTCAACAGTGTCCACTCCAAAAACACATTTCTGCTGGTTCATAGTGATACCAAAAGCGTTAGGACGGATAAAAACCTTCAGTAGGTGCAGCAAATGTTTGTTATTGTCTTTGCTGGCGATGAGAACATCAAAAATGTAGACAAAGAAGCCGAGATTACAGAAACCTTGATCCTTGAATCTCTGAAATGTCTGTTCTGCATTGTGTATACCGAAAGGCATTTGTATTAACGCAAATAATGGCAGTTTTCGGGACATCTTTGGGGGCCACAGGAATCTGATGGTAAGCCAAAACTAGTCTGAAGGAGACTGTACCGGTGAAGAACTGTGACCTTATTTAGGGCTCCGTAATCACCACAGAGTCTCCAGTCTCCAGATTTCTTGGGTGCTATGTGTAAAAGGGCGGCCCATGGGCTGTTAGAGGGACGGATAACGCCAAGACGCCACATATATTCACACTGTTCTGGCAGCTTCAAGCTTACCAGAGGCAAATCGTCTGGCCTTGGCGGTTGTTGGAGGACCTTTAGTCTTAATATGGTGCATGACTTGGTGAGAAGGTTCGCAGGGAGCCAGGGCCACTTTGGCAGTCTCGGAGAACTCCTTCAAAAGTTTATGATATCAATTAGAGTGGGGCTATGTTAGGTGGGCACCAGTGAATTAATTGAAGCCGAGACTTTTCAAACAGATAGTATTATATTTGAGACCATAAGATTGCGTTGTGACATATCAACCTATAGGCCAAAATGGGAAAGGAAGTCAACATCAATTATTGGGCGTTTAACATCAGCCACGGTGAAAATGGAGGCAAATTGTCGCCTATGGCCTAGATCTAAGATGAGTAACTTTTGGCCATCGTTGCAATAGGCGAATTTTTCGCAGTTTGAAATTGAAGACCAGAGATTTTAAGGTGGCGTTTGTCAGGTCCTAGAGGAATTACCCTAACCACGGTACCGGTGTCAATCAAACATTTTAATCCGCTGAGTGAATCGCGGACATAAAACAGGTGACTAGATTAAGTGCCTAAACCAGTCATCGCCATCACTGACCAGCCTTCTCATTTCCCGAAGGTGAATTTGACGACTTGAAGGCCCTGGGTGACTACATGGCTATTTACAGGCTTGTGCCTAGTTAATATCGACATAGGTCAGATCCTTCTCTGGAATGGCTGGATCGGTGAAGACGGGATAAAGAATGTTTTTGACATGGCGGATATCTGAAAAAGATCCTTAGGTTACCTCTATTAAGTTCATCAAATTACATTGACAGTTTGTAGAGTCATTCTGCCAACGTATTCATGCCCAAATTGTAAACGTTAGCAGTGGCGTCATAGGAGACAGTCTCATGACATAGTCCCTAAGTAAACAAAAATTAGTGGATTTTATTTGCTATCTCTGCGAGTTTCCCCAGTGGTGTGTGAGGGGTCTGGACTGAAATTATGGCATTGGTGTTCGCGAGGAGACATTTAACCCATAATTGGCGCAGAACAAAGCCATTGAACTTGTCATCTCGGGCAAGGTAACACATATGCCTGAAAAGTTGAGACGGAGACTTGTTACCAAGTGTAATGCCAGAAAGAAGGTGCCGAAGACAGGCCACATTTGAGCTGGTCGTCCGAGCGAAAGCAGCAGTGTTTAACTCGCATACGGATTTGTAGAGGGCATTGTTGTAAGCATGTCAACAACTTCATTTGCGATTTCTGTTGGCACTAAAAGAACTACTCCTAGGTATTTTGAAGACTTTGAATTAACCTTCAGATTGCGAAATTAAGCTTCAATTTGCATAAACCAAACTTGAGCATTGGAGCTGTGAGGAAAGCTGACGGAAATGCTGTTTTCTATAAGGAAGCGAACAGCAGTAGGGTCAGATATTGTAGACGAGGAAGAGTGTTGCAAAAATAATTCGATGAAAATCGCCGGTTAAAGTAGTCAAAAAACAACTAAATGGTTTTGACACAATCATCAGGTGATAACTTGATTCTTCTCGATAACTCCTCGTTCGTTTGCTTGTCGTTGGCTGTTATCAATGCTTATGCCATTTGGGCAGATTTGGTACGTATGCTGATAGTCGGTCAATAATGAATGTTTGCAAAAATATGCATTTGTTGTCATTTTCGACTTCATTGATGCATATATTAAATAATTACTGCGTTAAAAGAACTTCTACCTGCGATGAATGACGCAACCTCCCAACAAGTTAAAAGAACATTAGCCTACAGCCTATGATATGTTTAGGCAATTGGAATTTTTGTGACTGTGCAAAGAAACAAGCCAGTATATGGGTGTACCCTCGGTTCTTACGATGACCCAGACGTAGTGTATCACAAATAAGCACACACATTATGAACCTATTTACATCGAGGTACGCATTATACTTATTCGGTAGACATTAAAAGACATCACGCCTCATACGAATTTATACGCAAATATCCTGCTTGATAAACATTAAGACAAGTCGAAACTATCATTCCTCCAATTTGAAATGAATTTAAAATTTTTGCAGGCCTAAGCTAAGGAAACACTATGCAATATTGCCATTTTGCCCCATATCCTCTGTTCTATGCAATTTTGTACACAGGAGTTGACAGAGGGCACTTGACAGATTAGGGTTGTGCTCCCAACTGATTACTCACAAATGTTGGTTTTGTCACAACATCAAATTCTTTTCATAGCATTCGATGTTTGTCAGTAATTTCTTTAAAGCCTGTATAGGAAACTAAGCATATCACTATTTAACCATATGGCTATAAATAAAGACAAAAGCATGGAAATTGATGTGACTTTAAAATAGACCTTTCAACGGAGTTTCAATGGCCACATCCACGGTTCACCTCGCAAGGGCGTCATCACTCAAGTCGCCAACGCTTTTTAAATTAA